TTCATTTGGAAATTTAAACATTCTGCTTCTCCGGGTCATTTTTGCCTTGAGTGCCAACTGAACTCAAATGAGACAGGGGGGAAAAGCCACCCTAATGACTTACTACCATCGCTAGACTTATTTTTTTATTTATTTATAGAGGCTGCTGAAGTCAGAGAAACAGACCCACTTAAAATGGTGCTGTGTAAGATGCCCGTTTGTCTGTGAACCTTTCTCTCATTGATTGCTCGAAACTTAGCTACCGGGAAAAATCAATGGCAGAGAGGCAAGGTCATCTGGCATCTGGGTATTGGCATCCAAGCGGGAGGGTGGGTCACAGGCTGGGGCTTGCCTTGGCTACCCTGCAGCTCCCCAACTGACCATGGCTGCTTTGCTGATGTGGCTACAGAGTAGATGTGGGAAGAGTCAGGATATGCAGAACCAGAGGGCTCAAGTTCAAAATGTTGCCCTCCCAGGGGCCAAGGGCATCCGTTTAGGAATTCCTGAGAACCTCTTTTGCCCTTGTCATGTCTCCTCTTTCCTGTACTGAAAAAACAAAACAAAACAAAAAAACGTACTAAGCAGGAGTCTGATGTTACATCCTGCAATTTTTATGTACACTGATTAATGGAATTCTCACAACAGCCTTCTAGAGTTGTCGCAGATGAGGAAGTGAGGCTCGGGAAATAGGGCCAGAGCTGCTGGCAAGTGCCAGACCCTGCTTTCTTGGCTGGATCCGCAGGCCTCCAGGTTTAACCTCACTAGAAACATCTGGAGCCTATTAAGGACGTAATAACAGCGCGGCAACCAACCAACAGTGGCCCCTCCCAGACCTGTCACGTCGGGCTCCCTAGGGGGCGGAGCCAGGCTGCCTCCTTTTAAAAGCTCTGCAGGTGAGGCCGCCCTACCCTGTTGGCCCATGCTCCCCCTCCTGAAACTGTGTTCAAGAGCAGAAGGAAGGGAAGAAAGGCAAAGAGACCGATAGCTTTTGAGTTCCTACTTGCCAGAGGTGGTATCTAATCTTTCAGAAAACCTGAAAATGATTCTCATTTACAGCTCCGGAAACTTTCTGTTGCTTCCCCAGATACGTTTGAGCAATCCTCACCCCCAAGTCCCAGAGTACCTGAATGGCAGAGAGATTTGAGCTGGGATTTTGTGTTCATGTTACTAAACCATGCTGTAAAGAAATACCTAGAGCTCGAGAGAGGTCTCAGAGGTAAAGAGTACTGGCTGCTCTTCCAGAGGACCCAGGTTCTAATCCCAGCACCCACATGGCAGCTCACAACTGTCTGTAACTCCAGTTCCAGGGCATCTGATGCCCTCTTCTGGCCTCTGTGAGTACCAGGCACATACATTCATATGTACAGGCAAAATACCCATACATATAAAATAAAATAACAAAAAAGGAAGCAATGTCGGGGGGCAGCAGGATGGCTCAGCAGGTAAAGGCTCTGCCTGTGTAAGCCTGACAGTTCGAGTTCAACTGGACCCGGTGGTGGAAGGAAAGAACTGACTCCCAAAATTTGTTCTCTGACCTCCCCGTATGCACAGTGATGTACAAACATACATATCCACCCCCACAGAAATCAAAGCCAACGCCTCTTACGTTGAGTACACGAAACAAATCAAGGGCAGGTGGTCACCATGGCTGATGGTTTTGATGAGAGGGACCCCATGTACTTGGATGTTTGGTCCCCAGTGAGAGGAGCTGTTTGGGAAAGGCTGGGAAGTGTTGCCTGGATGGAGGAGGTGTGTCACTGGGGGTGGGCTTTGAGGCTTTGAAAGTCCACGCCACGCCCAGTTAGCTATTTCTGCCTTGTGATTATACCTCAAGATGTGAGCGCCCAGCTGAGGCTCTAGCCTGCCTCCCTATCGCCATGTTCTCCACTGTGAAGGCCGGGGATTCTAACCCTCTGAAGCTGTAAGCCCCAGGAAACTCTTCCATCCATGAGTTGCCCTGGCCGTGGTAGCTGAGCAAGGCGATAGAAAAGTAACTAAACCGCCATACTTGAGGTAACTTGCTGGAAGTCCCAATGATTTTGTTCTGTTGGCTGGAAACTGGGATGTGATTGAATGAGGGACCATTTCTTTCTTTCTTCTTCTTTTGGGAGAGTGACAAACAGGCAGCAGGAAGTAGTTTATAAATGAACACTAACAAATGCCAGATAGTGTTGTTTTAATCATTTTGTTTCTGATTTTAGTTATCCTGAATGTAGGCTAGTAAACAGCATAATCTTCTACTGTGGCCCCGTGGAGCCCATCGAGGGCACTCAACTCTTAACTGCACGGTTCTGTTGGGGTGGACCTGACCTTGGAAACCCAGTCTCCACAGCTTATTTTCCTCCTTCCTTCCTTTCTTTTTGTTTTATTCTTCCAAACAGGGTTTCTCAAAACAGGGCTTCTCAGTGTAGCCCTGGCTATCTAAGAACTCACTTTGTAGACCAGACTGGTCTTGAACTCAGAGATCTGCCTCTCCAGTGCTGAGACTAAAGGCATGCGCCATGGCACCACAGCTTTCTTTAATCTTTCTTTTTACTCTACAAGTCAGCACTACAAATAAACTTTTAATTGAACTTACTTTTGGGATTAAAAATAACAGCGTCATCACTCAGAATCCTCAGAGCATGAGCCCATTGCCTGACAGAGTGTGAAGTACTATGTGAATAATTGTTATAACATAATAGCGTAGTTTAGGGAATAATGACAAAAAAATCTGAATGGGTTTTCTACAATTGCCCTAGCAATTTACTTTTTAAATTTTTTTTTGTTTGTTTGAGACAAGGGTCTCCTTATGTAGTCCAGGCTGGCCCTGAATTGCCTCAGTCTCCTGTCTCAGGATTATAAGTTTGAGCCACTATGCCTGGCCCAGCAACTAAAAACTGCATACATTTTAAATTCATGATTGATTGAAGCCATGAGGAATTTTGGAGTAGAAGCCTTCAGATATAGAAAGCTACCTGCATATACTTTTTATTTTTTGAGAAAATAAATACATAAGTGTGAAGACCGAGTCCCTCTAAGCCCAGCCACTTACATATGTGTAGCTACCAACAAGCATGTGCAAGAGTTACAAAGCGGCTGTTACCTAAGGATGATTAAATTCTTAACCATGATACACAATCTTGGTCCATTCCATTTACAACAGAACCCGGGCGAAGAGATTTTTAAAAATCAAGATAATCACATTTTAGGTCCAAGAAAAGGAAAAGCCGGTGGTGCCATTTTAAATTGGAGCTGAAGTATTTCTCCTCAGCCTGGATCACAAGTTTGAGGCCACCATGAGTTCTTCATCTCAAGGCAGAAACAGGGAAAGGGGGCAGGGAGAGGAGAAGAGGGAGGGGGAGAGGGGAGGAGAAGAGGGAGGGGAGACTTGATGAGCTGTGTCACTGGCATCCTCCACGGCTTCTCTTGAGGCCCTGTCACGCATTAGACTTTCAATTACTATTTCATAGTTTGCTTGTTTTTCTGGGCTCCATAGGTAGTCTAGGCTGCCCTACAGTTCCCCACCTTCTGCTCCTGCCTGCCAAGTTCCAGGACTTGTGCCATGGCATGTGCCACCACACCCAGAGGTCAATTGTGAGTCCTTGTTTGTTAAAACAAAGTCTCTCTATTTAGCTTTTGAACTTGTGGTGACCCTCCTGCCTCTGCCTCACAAGAGCCAGCAAAGCTGGTGCTAACTCAACCAACTTAATTATTTCTAAAATGTAAAAAAAAAAAAAACAAAAAAAAAGTACCCTTTCATTGTGGTTTTAGCTTGGGTTGGCACTGATGTATTAACCACATGCAAAAGAAATATGCATGTCCAAATATAAACAGAATAGCGTTCTCTAAATAATATTCTATTTTTTATTACCTGCTTGAGAATTTTTAAAGCTTTTTAAAAGATTTTTTAAAGATTTGTTTTATTTCTTTAATTATGTGTATGTGTGTGGGGATGATATGCACTCGAGTGCAGGTGACTGTGGAGGCCAGAAGAGGGCACTGGATCTCCCACATCTAGAGTTACAGGCAGTTGTGGGCTCTCTGATGTGGGTCCTGCGCCACCATGCTAGCCCTGAAGATTTGTTTTTGCTATTTTTGTGTACATGCAGGTGGGTGGGTGTTTTGTGTGAATGAATGCCACATGTGTTAAGTGTCTGAGAAGGCAAGAAGAGAGCATTGGATCCCTTGGAGCTGGAGTGATGAGCCGACTGTGAGCCACCCAGGGTAGGTGCTGGGCACTGGCCTCAGGTCCCCTGCAAGAGCAGCAATCGCTCTTCACCAGAGCCAACTCTCCCACCCCCTTTAGAAAACTCTTGTTTGTTTGGGGTGTGCGTGTGTGTGTTCCATTTTATTCTCCCAGGTGATCTGTAAGCTCGAGAGGATAAGGGAATGTCTTTCGATTTCTTGTATTCGCTAGTACTTGGCACACACACTATACCTGGTGTGTTAAGTGCTTATTAATTCAACTGAATATTGTAACTGAGTTGGTTTGTGAAAGCTGCCATACCGAAGACCACAAACTGAGAAGCTCAGATAGCAGAAGTGCCTGCTCTGCTCCTTGTTCTCCAGTCTGGGAGTCTGAAAGGGTAGCATCGGCACAGGTGGGTTTTTCTGAGCATGGAGTCTCTCTGGGGTAGCTGTCCTTGGCTGTTCTCAGATTTCTTGTGTCATCTTTCCTAATGCCTATCTCCTTGTCCAAATTTTCCCTTTTAATAAGGATACCAGTCAAATCCTATTAGGACCCACTCTGATGAGAATGTCATACTGGCCTTTCCATGTAAGGTCCTATACTATGGTACTTTGTGTTAGGACTTCAGCATGGGAATCTGGAGGACACAAAGCTCATGCCTAACAGGACCTTTCAGCGACTCACAAACACTCAGAGAAGGGGCCTTAAAAGTCAGTAGTCAGCTTGCCCAGTTCTAGAACCCTCTTTTCCCCCTGAGCCAAGAAGGGCATTTGGAATTTTAATAATATTTTTTGGCAACAGACTGGAGGATTTTGCTCTTGGATTTAATGTTTCTCTGTGTGCTTTCCAGAATGGTTCCCGCTGCCTAAACCTCAAAGCCTGCAGTGTGTCTGGAGTAGGTAAGCGCTACACTGGCAAGTTTTCTTTAGACACAGAGAAGACAGAGATGCTTCTCTAGACCCCCGAGCACTGGGCTCCAGCCCCCAGCACATCCGAGCCCCAGAGAGAGCCTCTGAGAGAGCCAACCCCCTGGTAGGGTGTTGGTTTTTCTTTATGAACCATTTTACTTTCAGTGAGTTTGGTCATTAAAATTGTTTTGTGCCCTTCAGCCATGCCCCAGGCCCTTCAGCCATAGTGTTGGCCTCCGAGAAAACCTAGTGGGTTTATTATTCTCTGACACAGGGAAACCAAATAACATCATTGAGTGGGCATTGGAAGGGGAACGTGATTCATGGAGGTCATGCTTTCCCAGGCCCTCTCAACATGGTCTCGGCTCGGACCAGGGCAGACTTTTATTACCAGCTTTCAACAAATCCCTAGTTTCTTTTGCAAAGTAAAACAGATAATAGAGACATTCCAGGAATAGCTAGCTAACTATGCTGCGCCAGGCAGCCTCTGGGCGAAGAAGAACTCAGTGTTTTCGGACAATGACCAATTACAATAACCAGTATTCTTTGATCGGAGAGTAATTAGTGAAGGCTCTGTTCTTTTTGCTTCCGTGAGAAGGCAAAAAGAGCGGTGAGGGAAACATCAGAGACTGGGTAAAGGAGCTCAGATGTCAAAGAAAAACACTCTCGCAGGTGGAGAGAAGGGAAGAGTTTCCCAGCCAAAGTCCCAACTGAATATTGAACCGTTGGTCCCTGAGTATACAGAGTGGTTTAATCTAACCAAAGGTGGCTTGATTATTCCTTATGTACCATTTGTACGCTTTTAAAAGGCACTGTAAAGAGTGAAAAAGAGGGTACAAAGAATGAGCAGAGAGCCATGGACTGAGAGGGGATCTTTTATGGGGAGAGACAAGGCTCCCATGATGCCCATATGCTCAGCTCTTATTTTCAAAGCCCAGGATGGCTTGAAGCCCCCATTATTTCAGAGGCATGTTCCCAGGAACTGCTGTTTATTATATCCTCTGGGATATAGAAACTGCTCACGATCACCACTAAGCAATCACAGCCGTCTGTGGACTCCCACTTCAATTTATCAGGACATTTTAAAATAAAGAGTTACCTTTCCTACAAGCCATTTGATCGAGCAGTACTGGCAAGTAAAAACACACTTTTTTTTTTTTTTTAAGGTTTAGGTATCAACGATTTTAAGATACTCGTTCAAAAACTATGTCAAAGATGGCAGGAACTTCAGTCTAACCCGGAGTGTTCCCTGGAGTCCCTAGAATGTCGAAGACACGTTTTTGAGGTCTTGAGTAGGAGCTGGGGAAGCTCTGTTTGCTAAGCAGAGCAGCTCCGGTTTTAGTTGGTTCCAATTTTGAGACTGGAATAAATTTAAACAATAAATTTATTGTTTAAAAACAATAACAAGGGAAGGCACCACCACCCTTTTGCAGGCATGCTGGCCCCCCAGGCCTAGCCTAGAGATACTCCACACAGCTCCACAGCTTCCTTTCATTCCTATTGGCTTTTTAAAACGCCAAGCACCTTAATACTCTCTGCCGCTGCTGTCACAGTTCTGCCACTGGCTTCCTGCTGGCGCTTGAAACACCCCCCCCCCTTTCTGAGCTGATAGGACTTGAATTCTCTCACTCTCCTGACCACGTATCACCTACTGCTCTGCCCATTCCTGTGTTCCTGGCCTTTGCTCAGACTTCCTTTTGGCTCCTTGGCTCCTGGAGCAAGAAATAATACCTGGAGCACTGCTAGTGCCGTTGCCATGAGACATAAACAGCTGTCTAAATAGAAGTTATTCCCGATTAAACTTAAAGTTTAGTTGTTCGGTTACACTACCTATATTCCCAGGGCTCAACAGCTGCATATAGACAAGCGCCTACTGCATCAAACAGAGTGAAAACAGAGAATTTCCATCACTGTGGAAAATTCTATCGGACAGAGTTTGCTTGGATTAGCATATGAGAAAATCCTTGGCTCTGCAGAGGACTAAGGATACGTGCCCACCATGTGCTTATGGGGCTGCACGTTGTTACATTCTTCTGTTGTTGTTTGGTTTTTTGGAATTTTTTCTTTTTTTTCAAGACAGGAAAACCTAAACCCTGTCTTGGAACTCATTCTGTAGACCAGGTTGGCCTCAGACTTAGAGATCTGCCTGCCTCTGCCTCTGCTGGGATTAGAGGCGTGTGCCACCACCGCCTATTTGTTACATTCGGGTTTTTTTTGTTGTTGTTTGTTTGTTTGTTTGTTTTGTTTTAACAGTCCTGTTCTGATGTCAAACAGGAAGGAACTGAGGCTTGGAGAACTGGGTCACTTACCTAGGGTCAGCTAGAAGGTCGGCGGCGGAGCCCTGATTCCTGTGCCGCACAGGGTTGCAATAGACTCAGTTTGCAAGTGTGTTGAGTGTAGAAAAGCAGAGTTGTCTCCCGCCTTTTGCACAATCCCCACAAAGGTGTGGTGGGATTGTGCTCAGGGATAGAAATGGACCTTGCTGTGGGTTTAATGGTGATCTCTTTAACGTGGGCCTCGTGAGTACACATTCACATTTCAGATCGACAGCTTTCCTAAGGGTGCTTCTTACTGTGGGCATCTATCCTAGACTGAGAGCATTAGCAATGTGGCCACTCTGTCCGTACACCCTCTCCTTTATATGACGTAAAGGCAAGCACGGTACCCAGGCGAGCTCACGGCAGAGAGCCGCATCCCCTACTGTGAAGGTCAGTGGCGACAGTGTGGGTAGGAGATTCTAATACTCAGAGCCAGGGTATGCTAGGCAATTAAAACTAAGCAGTGTTCGCTCACTCCACTGAGAACAGCCGTACCTGTGTTACCTGTGTTGAGTGATGGCTAGTAGCTCCTGCTTCATGCAATCACACAGCCTGGACAGAGCACGTGACGTGGAGAATTGGCCAACCATTCTTCCTTCACGCACAGCAGGTAAGCAGGTCCTTAACCTGAGATTTCCAAATGTCTTTATCTTGTCTGTGAAACAGTTACCCTGGAGTCAGAGACTAATAACCTGTTTGCAGACACAGCTCTACAGTGTAGAAACCAGATACCTGGACGTTTCTTATGCAAATCTCAATCAAACACGTCACAATTGTAGGACAGGACCTGGGGCATCCCGGCCTCATGCCTGCCGGAGAGGAACACAAGCTCCTCCCTGCTTCACGCTGACATAAGCAAGCCCCTCTAGGTTTTGTTTGATTGGTCATGTAGTCCTCCCTTCCTCCGGGGTCATTGGCCACTGGCCCCCGGGGACAAAGGGAGCAGAAGTAATGAATGAGGTTCAGATGGCCGTGAGTATGACGGAGAAGCCTTCCAGGATCAGCTTCAGAGAGGCAACTCATTGTATTGTTTTTGGGGTGAGGTATATAAAGGTTCTCAGGGTTACGGGCAGGAAGGGCTGATTGTACCTAATTATCATACTGGCAGACCAAGGAGAGGCACTCAGGTGTTGAGTCACATGGCTCTATGCAGAGTCGTCCTCCACACAAGGTCAGGCAAAGAAGAGGAGTCCCTACTGACAAAGGGAGCCCTCCATTTTGCACCAAACTCAGGGAGCTATCTGGACATGGTGGACCGTGACCTTAATAGCAGGATCTTCTGACAGGTTCATTTGTGGCCATGCAACTCAAGGCAGAATGTCAGGCTTCAGGCCTACCCACCGGCTTCCAGCCTGACAGAATGCTTTGGGTGATTTATATCCTCAACAATAAGACCACTGCTCACAGTTCTAGAAGCTGGAAAGTCCGAGGCTGAAGGCACCAGCTCATTTAGTGTCTGACGATGATTCTGTGCTGCATCTGTGATGCCTTCTTGGCACATCTTCATATGTAGAAGGAACAGACAGGTTCCCCAGAGTTTCTCTGATGAAGGACCTAAGCCCCTCGTGAAGGCTCTTTTCCTGTACCCTGATTATCTCCCCTAGGCCAGACCTCCTAATGCCGAGACTACAAACCGTGAGACCAGAGGAGGGCTGCTCCCTGCGCAGATGTACCCGTGTTCTTGCGTGATAGCTTGGGGAATGCCTGGACTCCGCTGGGGGCGGTTTTGCCTTGGGCCTCCCAGAGCTAGCCGTCTTTAACATGTACAGTTGCTCATACTTGCTGACCTCCAGATACCAGCACGGGGCCAGCTTGGGGACAAGTCATGATTTTTGGAATTTGGATATTTTATTACTACTGCCCAGCTCTACCCCGAGGGGATACCGTCCCGGCCGGTAACCTTGGGGCTGAGCTTCAGAAACCCTGTTAATAGGCTATTTCCACTCGACCTCCACTCTTGGAACTGCCTTCCCCGCTCCTCCCCTCCAGGATTCCATCCTTTCTGTCCTCGCTATCCAGAACCTGGAACATTCTGCTGACTAGGCCTTTCCGCTTGCTTGGGGCCAGAGAATTCCTCCACGAAGGAGCCTTCTTCGTATGTTCCTGCCTCTACAGCCACAAACCTGTGTCCTTTGTGTGCCCATAGTACCCAGGGACATGGGGGGGCGGGGTTGTCTCCTTCCCTCCTAGCGCCAGGCCGGGGAAGAGTTTTGGTGTTGGGTTAGTTATTTTCACTTCCCATCTGTGGCCCAGGAAGGAACTCTTTTGAGATATGTTAAGCCTTGTCGCCTCTTCTTCGTTTTTTTTTGTTGTTGTTGTTTTTGTTTTTGTTTTCCAGCATAGCGGCCTCTAGAGAAACTGTTTCTCTTTTCCAGGCTGGGTGGAGTTCCCGAAGCTGAAGACCTGGCCTCGCAGATGCTGAAAGGCTTCCCCAGGGACCGAGTCTCAGCCCAAGAAGCCCTTGCTCATGATTATTTCAGTGTCCTGCCGTCCCAGTTGTACCAGCTTCCGGATGGTGAGTGTGCATGTGTGTGTGTGTGTGTGTTCGTGTGTATGTACACGTATGTGTGCACATAACGCATCAAGTCTCCTCTTAGGAGTTTTCCCTCAACACTGGAGAAGCAACCAGAAGTGAAGTCAGAGATTAATTTGCTTCCCAGAAAGAAGCACGGGAGCCCAGTTTCTCCTGAGCTTTGAGTCAGGTTCTCTGAAACTCTAAAGCGCCGGTGGGGAAAGGTGACAAGGACCTCCTCCTAATAATGTGAACCTTTCGCACACTCAAGCCTGCGCTTAGAAATCGGAGGAGATGAAAGTTGCCTCTGAGGCGTTTGCTTTAGCTGGCGTCTGCCGGGAGAAGCGAAACCTGAGTTCCTAACAAGCCGCTTCCCTCTTCCACCGAGAGTAAGCCGATAGGTGACACGGGCGTGCCAGGAAGGAGAGATGGGCCCGGCTGGATGGGTAACACAATACTGCCCAAGGAAGCTCGGAGGCTGGCGCCGGGGGAAGGGCCGCGCGCTCCCAGGCCAGCCGCCCACTGCAAGCACAGGTTACCCTGAAACCAGGCCCTGCTGCCTGAGCCTGAGTCATCCTCCAAATCTGAAAGCTGCCGAGGGGTCACGGGGCAGGAGTGGCACTTGGGTTCCTCAGAATGTGGTCCAGAAGGGCTCGGAGGAGGATGTGGGTGGCGCGGTCAAGGCCTGGGCCGTTTTAGGGAGGGCTGGGGAGAGTCTCCTTAGGTGAGGTCTCTTTGAAAATAGCCACATTCGATGGAAAATTGTTGTTTGAAGTCCTAAGCCAAAGAAAAGAAAGCTAAGGAGGAAGGCCTGGGGGCGGGGGTCAGCCTGGAGTGGGGTGGGAATGGGGATGAGGTGTGGAGCTACTCCCGAAGGGGCGTAGGCACAGCTTGGCCCAGTTGCCAGGCTTTGGAAACACAGTTTCTCAAGATCTCAGACAGGGTCCTGAAACAGGACAAATCTCTTAGTTTGGGACTGTTGAGAAATTTTATTACTAAAGTGAGTCACTTAAGACCTCTAAAAATAGCCATCATCATACATCTGAGGTTAATATCTTGCTGAACCCCCATAAGAAGAGGCAGCCATTAGGATTTATGAAGCTGCCATGAAGTGTCAAGAGCACATGAAGTGCTATAAAAAGTTGAGGAAAACAAGACACTTGTTCTTGGCCTCAAGGATCTTACAGAGTGGGAGGAAAAGAAGGTGAAGAAGAGGAAACGGGGCGCCCTCTACACGTATTAGCACAAATCATATCAGAACAGCAAAAATCTGCCTATAACCAGCTGCAGATGTTCAGAAACTGCATGTGGGGACGTGGGGGCGAGCCAGGGGAGCCGGATGAGCCTGGAGGTGAATCTGCAGAGGGTTTGCAAGGAGGTGGGAGGTGGGGTTGGGTCGAGAGCGATAGAGCCTGCCCCTTTCCTGGCACTCGTGCCTCCCGTGGGTCCAGCCTGCCTGTCCCGTCACGCTCCCCTCCTTCCCATCCGCACCTTCCTTCTCAGGACACCGCATCCCACACATGTGCACGCCTGGCTGTACACGCATGCGCTCACATCTCTCTCCTTAAACAAATGTGCCCCGTCGGCTTCCTGCAGAGACGATTATTCTGGGCGCTGAGAACTGCTGGGATCTTCAAGGTTCTCTGGGCGCCAAGCTTTTTAATTAAGAAGCAGCAATCACTATCTAAACAGATGCGTTCCTAAGAACTTGGGTTTTGATTCTCCCTAGAATGGACTCTGGTACATACCCAGCTAAAGGTGTGTGTGTGTGTGTGTGTGTGTGTGTGTGTGTGTATGCATGGGTGAGAGAGAGAACAATCTGTATTCCTCCTCTGTTCACCCTGCTGCAGAGCCCAAATCTACTTTGACACTTTGAGAAAAATGAAAAGATGGAATCTTGCAGAAGCCTTGGTGTGCTGGGGGGAGATGCGGAGTGCCCACAGCAGGAGGGGAGTTGACTTTTCTTTATACATATAGGGGTTTTTCCATGCAGAGTTTAAATTATGCCTGATAAAAGGACTTTCGTGGATGTTTCAGTTCTTTCAAATTCTCCTGGCTTCCTCCCAATTAAATGAGGTTTGTCAAAGCCACGGGGCTCTGCCGGCTGCTGCCTTGGCGGACAAGCACTTCCTGCAGCGACATCTCGAGTCCCTGAGGGAGAAGATGAAAGGACCAGCACCGAGAGACAGGGAAGAGAGGTGCCAGTGTGTGTGCACTCGCGAGCGCACACGTTTGTGTGTGTGTGTGTGTGTGTGTGTGTGTGTGTGTGTGTGTGCATGTGTGCTTGGAGCAAGTGTAGAAATAAACACAGAGGTAACATTAGGATGTGTGGCAAGTGACAGGAAGAGCAAAGGTTTTGGGGAGAATGGAGAGGAAACCCCCAGGGGCCCATCCGGGCACCTTGACAACAGTGGCCCTGGCCAAGGGCACTTCCTCCACCAAGGGCTGCCCTCCCTGGGCTGGGCACCACTGCCAGCCTGCTTTTTCATTGCCCCTGGCAAGGAGCCTTTGTTAACAGCTTGCTTTGCAGACAGAGGGACCCAGTGGGTAAGCCCAGCAGCGCCCAACCTGCAGGGACAGAAAACTCTGCATTGCTGAGGTGGGCTGCCGCAGGCATCAGGATTGCAAAAATAAGATGTGTTCTCATGAATGATGTGTGTGTGTGTGGGGGGGGGGTTGCTGTGTTGTAATTAGGAGAAAGATCTTGCTCTCTGGTAGCATTTTAGCATAGACTCGTTAGGGTTTATATTTACATCAGTTTATTATTATTCTGGTCGCAGGGTAACGGAGTTGTCACTTTAAAATATATTCTGTTTCCCCTTTGATCTGGAAGATGCCAGCTCTTATTGTCTGGCCTCTGAAGAAGACAATTAAGCATGAAACCTGTAAGTGGAAAATATATGGAGACCAGAGGACAGCCCAAATCCCCACAGAAGGCTGCTGTGCAAACTCCCCCGCAAAATCAAAGAACAGTTCCCATCAATCTATGTCGATTCTCATCAAGCCAGCCTCGGACGACGCTTTCTCTAAGTTGTGGCAGTAAGTTTAGAGCCGGAGGAAATTGATCAAGGGTGATTTGCCATGAAAACCCAGGAATTCCAGAATTGGTTCCCAGGTGGCGATCACTGTTAAGTGGGAAAGCAAGAATGGGGAGCCTGTGGGAATGTCTGCCAAGCTCTGACGTTTTCCCTCCTTGCCTCTTGAACACCTGAAGAAACATTTGTTGAAGGGGAAATTATTGGTAGTCTCTCTCAAAACACACCCATCAGCAAGCTAATTGCTTTTGCAGATGGCCAGGGAGCAGCTCTCTCCACTCCAGCACCGGCTCACGGCCATGCCTGTGGTCCCCATGGCCAAGCCAGCCATGCAGGGCGTCAGCTGGGCCAGCAAGGGCCTAAAATTAGGCCCTTGGCAGCTCTCTAATCTTAGCTGCAGGTTCAACCTCTTTGCTTAATTCCCTCTGCCCTCAGCATGAACTTGGGCTCTGAGAAAGGAACTCTGGTTAACTATTTGGGGGTGGGGGAGTAGAAAAATCATTAAGCTGCCCCTTCTACAGACGGCTCCCCTTAGTTCCTATAGGAAGCCTTCCAAACGTCACCCTCAGAAGGTTAAGGCCGACTTTGGAAGCTTGCCATTTCGAGCACATACACTGACCCACAAGAGCTTTTTTTTTTTTTTTTTTTAAATCTGGGCCAGTAAATGCCACATGATTTAAGAGTCTGGTCCTTAAGCCAAGGCTCTTGCTCGTCAAGACATCAAAGGTTCTCTCTCTCTCTCTTTTGGTTGGTCTCATTTTCTCTCCTAATCCAGGTTTGAGTCAGTCTCTACCATTCTTTCCTGGACTAAATTCCCCTTCTCCTTTAAAATAGGTCTTGGCATCTTAGGAAAAAAAAAAAAAAAAATTCCTGAAGTGTAAAAGCTTGCCATGGTTCACAAATACATTTGTAGAAACAATATTCTCCAGGCTGCTCAAGGGTGGGAGAGCCCGCAGCACCCACGTCTGCCTTCCCTCAACCCTCTCAGACCTCCACCCTGAGAGCAGACTCACTCTTACTGCCCCATCGGGGCCATAGTTTGCTCCAAAACAATGAAAAATTTCAAGTCTTCCTTTAACAGCATGTCTTTGAACATTTGATGATCCCATGACATTAGTGCTCAGAGTTACTTCTCTAGTCTAGGTTTCCTTAACTCTGTGCGTGTTTGTGTGCATGTGCGTGCGTGTGCGTGCGTGTCTGTGTGTGTGTGTGTGTGTGTGTGTGTATACACATCTGCACACACATATGTGGAGCTGACCTGGGTGTCCTTCCTCAGGAACCGTCAACCTTGTTTTTTGAGATGGAAGTCAGGGCCTCTCACTGACTGGGGCTCACTAGTTATCGGTCAAGTTACCGGGATCTGCCTGTCTCCCCTCCAGCACTGGCATTACAAGCTCTCTGCACCATGGTTTGTTTGGTTTCGTTTGGTCTTTGACTTTTAAAGTCAGGGTTTCTCTGTGTAGCCCTGGCTCTCCTAGAACTCAGTCTGTAGACCAGACTGGCCTCAAACTCAAGAGATCTTCCTGCCTCTGCCTCCTGAGTGCTTGAAGAGGAATATTAATTCAGAACATGGCTCCTCTGGCAAAAGATCACATCCAGAGACCTTCTAGTTCTGTGAGATCCAGCTGAAATACAGTCACACCTTTAATTGCAGGAGACAAAGGCAGACAGATCTCTGAGTTCTAGTCAGTTCTGTTCAGACAGTTCAGTTGAGTCAGTGAGTCGAGAGGCAGTACAGTGGAGTTGTGTTTGTGAGTTGAGTTTGTGGAATTCAGAGGCAGTTTTACTGGGAGAGTTTTTACAAGAGACAGATTGAATAGAGAACAAGCTAGATTTATGGAGTGTGTGTTAAGTGTGGTGCTGATGAACAGAACAGTGAACTAGGCATGGGCTTTACCCTCCAAGAGTAGACAGTCCTTAAGGTAACGAGGCTGGTACATGAGCAGCTACAGGTCAGCTGACGTATGC